GAAGAGGAAGTCAAGCTATTCTCCAAATCGCCTGAAGGCAGGACAAGAAGCAACGGGTGGAAACTAACCAAAGAGAGAAGCAACCTAGAACTAAGGAGAAACTTCCTGACAGAACAATTAACCAGTGGAACAACCTGCCTCCAGAAGCGGTGAATGCACCAACACTGGAGGTTTTTAAGAAGAGACCGGACAGCCATTTGTCCGAAATCATATAGGGTTTCCTGCCTGAGCAGGGGGTTGGACTAGATGACCTACAAGGTCCCTTCCAACTTTATCATTATTATTATAAAGATGTTGAGATTCTAGAAAAAGTACAGAGAAGAGCAACAAAGATGATGAGGGGACTGGAGGCTAAAACAAGGAATGGTTGCTGGAATTGGGTATGTCTAGCTTAATGAAGAGAAGGATGAGGGGGGACACGATAGTGTTCCAATATCTAATATCTCAGGGGCTGCCCCAAAGAGGGAGTCAAGCTATTCTCCAAAGTGCCTGAATCAAGGAGAAAAGCAACCTAGAACTAAGGAGAAACTTCTTGATAGAACAATTAACCAGTGGAACAACCTGCCTCCAGAAGCGGTGAATGCTCCAACACTGGAAGTTTTTAAGAAGAGACTGGACAGTCGTTTGTCTGAAATAATATAGGGTTTTTTGCCTGAGCAGGGGGTTGGACTAGATGACCTCCAAGGTCCCTTCCAACTTTATTATTATTACTATATAAATGAATTTTTTCCCACGACTTCTCAAAACTCTGTTTTGGGCCATCCACAATCAAAGGGATAGTTACTTAGAGGATGAGTGACTTCCTTGAGTTCCCTCTTAATTTACCTAAAAACTATATGAAACATATCAGTTTTTTAAAGTTCATAAAACATTTAAATCTGAAGAGTTAATTTCTACTGTAGATTTCATCTAGATGGGAACTATGGAAAGAATGTAATTAGAAACAATAGGTTTGCTCCAGCCGCTTCCAACCTTTTCTATACTTTGCACCCCTAAAACGCTTCTGATACATTCTCGCACCCCTTACAAACATTCGAAATAATGGCAATGAATTATGCATGTACACTATAATTTTGAAAACCCAACTTTTCACACCCCTTGGAATATCATCTGGCACCCCTGGTTGGGAACCCCTGGTTTACTCACAAGCAAAGGATTCACACAGGTGAGAAACCATACAAATACTCTTTCATTCCAAGAATAACTTACCTTACTGTTGAAAGACTTTCTGTGCAATCTGGGATACTCTTAGATTCCCAACTCCTGCTCAAATGGCAGATGTGTTTAAGAAATTTTTTGCACAGCTTCATGTGTGTCCATTTGCCCATCCTTGGATCAACAGGCTCTGCTTACAGTCATGCCTTGGACACCTCCCAGGTGAAATACTATAATGTGCTCTACGTGAGGTTGCCCTTGAGTAAATGAAAACTTCAACTGATACAAAAGGTAGGGATGTGTCAGTTATGTGAAGTAGAACAGCATATGTTACACCTTGATTGAATCCCCGTTAATGTAATTTAGGATTGCATTGGCTTTTTTGGCTGCCACCACACACTTTGCTCATATTTAATTGATTGTCCACTAAGACGCCAGGATCCCTCACAGTTACTGCTATTAAGCCTGGTTTCACCCAATCTATATGTGTACTTTTGTTTTTTCTTGCCTATGTGTAATGCTTTACTTTTCTTTATATTGAACTTCACTTTGTTGCCAGCTTAGTATCATCTGCAAATATGACAAGTTTACCTCCTACTCGCTCATCTAAGTCGTTTATGAAGATGTTGAAGAGTACTGGGCCTAAGACAAAACCTTGTGGTACCCTATGCTTACTTCCCTCCATATAGATGTAATACCATTAAGGATTACTCGTTGAGTACGGTTTGTCAGCCAGTTACAAATCCATCCGATGGTGATGCTATCTATCCCACCTCTACTGTGCAAGCTGCATGGATTGCCAGTTTGCTTCCGGATCCAGTTCAAGTTGGTGCTTTTGAATTTTAAAGCCCTTAATGGTATGGAGCTAAGTAATTTGAGGGACTGTCTCTTCCTAATTGCATCTGTCCATCACATCAGTTCTGGCAGGAAAGGTATATTGTGGGTCCTGTCTATTAAGGAGTTGTATTTGGTGAGATGTACATGACTGGCCTTTTCTGCTGTGGCACCCATTCTTGATACCCTTCTGGTATCAAAACATGTGTTGGAACTCAAGAAAGCTCAAGGAAGTAGTGAACTAGTGAGGGGTTGAACTGTTTACAATATGGAATCCTTTCTCCTAATGTGAATGATTTTTTAAAATCATAGAATGTTTTTAATATTGTTAATTATTTGCTGTTTTTTATTGTATGCTGTCTAAAGCAGATCTCCAACCTTTCTGGGCTCACGGCACTAACGGCCCCGTTCATGCATGTGGCACGCACTAGCACTGTACACATGCGCAAACGGCTGCACACCCCTGCGACGGCTAGCGCCCCTTTCACACAAGCGCAAACAGGCTATGCAACCCACCTGGGCTATCGGCCCCATTCATGCATGTACGTACAGGCCACAGACACACGCCCTGCGCTAGCATCTTCATTTGCACCCACGCGCATGTGCATACGGGGCCATGGGCTCTAGTGCGAGCGGTGGTGAATGCACGCCCACTTGTGTGCACACCGGCCAGCCATTTCTGCAGTGTTGGGGACTCCTGGTCTAGAGATGTTTTGGGAGCTGGGTAGCCCTATAAATATGAGGCATAAATAAATTATAAATTCACACAGGAGAAACCTTATATATGCAGAGAATATGGATGGCGCTTTCTTTTCAAGAATTGCTAGATTAAAAGCTCAGGAAGCCTGGTTGCTGATGGTCCCATGCAGGAAAAGAAAATCCAAAGCAGAATTATAATGGGAACCTGGAACATAGGAAGTGTCAACATAGAAAAGCTCGATCTGTAAAATACGAAATGGCTAACACTGACATCCTTGGCACCAGTGAATTGAGGTGGGACTGGGGTTGGACTCCTTTGCTCGCATGGATTCCACCTTTTTATTAGGATGTGATCAAGACCTGGCATTGTTTCATAGCCAAGAAGGTATGTTATCTCCCACCCCACTTATCAGCTAGGAAGCCAAGTGTTGCAACTTTCCATCTTGGAAGGGTCACCACTGATTAATGTTTTTTATTATTAGTTTTAAGGATAGGCTCCTTTTGAGTATCCTAAAGTGATCCACAATTTAATTAACATCTCAGAAACAGGACTGGTTACCCAAAGAGCTCTACCCTTTGCTTGTCAAGTGCAGCTATTGTATGATCTGAGAAGCACCCCAGCCAGACCTTAAGGTGTTAATTGCGAATTGCTTTCGGTCCTCCAGGGGCTTAGCAAGGTTAAAAAAAATCTTGTCATTTCCCTTTGTTACCCTCCCATGGGGTGGGAGAAGGGGGGGAGGGAATAGAAGATCAGCCCCATAAAGGCAATAATCTTTGTTTGAGCAGTTGCCATGGCAATTGTTCCTTATCACGCCTGCTTCTGGAAACATTTCAAGGAACAAAATCTTCAAACTTGCAATCTTGGGAATTTATTAATACATTATTAACTGTAACCCTGGTTTGCTTTGTGTATCTCTTGAAACCCAATCAACTCTTGAAGACTCAACCAACCAGGAACAACCAAGCACAAAAGGCAAAGAAAAAGTTAAGAAGATCAACATAGGGGAGAAACATGATAGATGCAGTCTGGAAAGGGCTTCAGTGCAAACTGTTCTCTCACTTGCCATCAAAGGATCCCTACAGGGGAGAAATGGTATAAATGTCTGGAATGTGGAAAGAACTTTACTCAAAAAGGACAACTTAATTCTCATAAAAGGATCCATACTGGGGAGTGACCATATACATGTATGAATCCCAGGAAGTTACTTAGGACATCTTACAGGTCATGAAAGGATCCGCACAAGGGAGGAACCACATAAATGCAGTGTGAAAAGAGCTTTGCTAAGAAAGGACAACTTGACTCTCATAAGTGGATCCACACAGGTGTGACCATATAAACGTATGGAGTGTGAAAATAGTTTTAATGATTACAGCACATTTGCTTTTTTTACAAAATGGATCCATAGAGGAGAAACCATGTAAAGCCATGCAATTAACTTAATTCAAAACAAGTTACTCATCTTTAAAGGATTCAAACATGGGGGAAAAGCTTACCGTGTGGGCCAAAGATTGATGGTTTGAGCTGGAATTTTATTTACCCTCCAAGCATTAATGATAAGCTGGGATTTTTAGAAAGTAAATATTTGAATCTGATTAGATTAGATAGCAAGTCTAAAGGGAGATAAAGGAGTATAGTTAACTGATGTAGAAAGATCAGATAAATTCTCCCTGCTTGTTTTATACAACAAGAACCCAAATGAGGGATCCACTCGAATGGAAGATCCTTGACAGACTCATTTGCTTGCCATAACACAATTAGATTAAAATGGGTTTGGCTGACTAATACCACAGTGGCTGCCAGAACTGAAGATTTGCAGTATTCTCTGGCAGGGACAGAATGAAGTTGAAAAATGCAGCAGACCATATTTTGCTCCCATTTCTTATTTTTTTACTCCACTGCAGGTTTCAGTTATTTTGTAGCCTTGCTTGCAACTACTGTATTTTCTTGTTGAGTACAGTGTGTGATTAAAAGTAATTATTGCTTTGCTCAATATATTATTTCAACTCTCCACTGTTTCATTGCCTTTGAATCCATGAATCCCTTGCTCACGGTTTGCTACCTCAAAATGGAGCTTGACTGGCAAGCTGAAAACCTCTGAAAGGGGTAAGGGTTAACCCACTTTTCATGTTGTTGCTGAGAAAAACTGCTGTTTGAATTATCTATTCTATTGTATAAGATCAGGGGTAGGCAACCTTGGCTCTTTTATGACTCGTGGACTTCAACTCCCAGAATTCCTGAGCCAGCGACTCAGGAATTCTGGGAGTTGAAGTCCACGAGTCATAAAAGCCAAGATTACCTACCCCTGGTATAGATGTTTGACTAACGACTGATTGAGTGTCTTCAAGTCCGTGTCAATTCTTAGCATTCAAATATGTACCTGGATCTTCAGGATTTCCCATCACTTCAGTAACTGAATCCATTCCCCTTGCCTTGGTCATCCACTTCTCTTTCCTTCTGCCTTTCTTTCCCAGCATTAGACCCTTCTCTAGAGAGCTGGCTCTTTGCAGAATATGTTCAATATCACTTCCAGTAGTACAAATTCAAATAATGCAGCCATTTTGTGGGATTCTCTAACCGTACTAATTTGAGACCTACCTACGTGACTTCCATCCACAGGCAGATTTGCTAGAACTAAAAGGGATCACACGCAGACTTTGTTTTGTTAAATAAACAAGAAGTCAAGTTACCGCAACCAATATTAAAAAGTGTGACAAAAAAGCAGGTTGTACAAAAAAAAAAGTCTCACGTGCTAAATTTAAACGAAGGAAAAACTGGAATATTGGTATGTTTGCTAAACAAAGCAGTTGCTTGAAACGGGATTGTGCATCTTTCATCACAGAGTTTCCGGAGTCCAAGTCGTTACTTAACACCACATGAATTGTGTCCAGATAAGAAAGACAACCTCCTCTTCCAAATGGCTGCCGTTCATCAACTCTTGACTGATCAAGAGCTGATGGACAGGTGGCCTTCTGGGTCACTCTCTTTCCATTGGACGGTGCTGTTGTCTATCTCCCCGGCCAATCATGCATTTGGCATCTACAAAAGCAGTGGATCCTGTGGCCGAGCATCTCCGTTGCAATGCCGGAAGTTGCCTGGGTCCTTTCCACCAGTCTGTACAAGGGGCCTCTCCTGTCCATCAATTCCGTGTAAGTCTACTCCTCCACAACCTCTCTGCCTGTTCTGTCCCAGCCTATGGCCCTCCTTGTTAAATGCACAAGGACAAAAACCCTTTTAATATTTTTAAAACCTGCCAAATGGTCCAAAAACAAAAGCAACAAAACACAATCCAAATGGAGGAAAGTGTCCACACGAAACACAATGCAAAACAGGGAATTAGTCACTGGTAATGCCAACAGAACATGATCCCAGGAAGTACTTTACAACGGTTGCCTTCAGCAACCAGCACTGCCCACACCTTCCCTTTTTTATTAAACAGCCCCAAGGCGTGGTTTCTCAATGCCTTCTCCTCCTCCCTTGGAGTTGCCGTATTGTCTCCCTCTGACCTGCTCTAGTTAACTGCCTTACAAGGGTCTCTAATGACTTCCAGCTGTGAGTCCTCAGAGTCTGACAGCTGAGTCTCATCCAGAGCACGATTGGAGGGGCCAGGCTCTTCATCCGATTGTGAGTCCTGTAACTCATCAGAGCCTTCCTTCGATTCTGATGGCTCTCCAAATCCCTCCTCCTCTGATTTCACGGACTCGGCTGCCGGGTCCACTGGCTGGCACGGACTCACAACACCGTCTTCCAGCACCACAATCTTGTGTGCGTTTTCCACCGTCTGCATCCGGTGAGCAATCACCAGCACGGTCCGAGCTTTACTTTTCTGCAGAGACTCCAGGATCTGAAAAAGGAAGCAGTGATCCAAAGGAAATCCTCAGTTCCTTAGAAGCATTAGATACAATCTCCCTCACATTTCCACCGAAAAGGGTTTCTCCAGCTCTGCAATAGAGTTTGGCCCCAAATGTTTTGCAGTCTGGAAAACAATAAAAGCCACCCGAATGAAGGCAAATATGTGTGTCCCAGGATAATGTTGCAAGATCCAATAAGGGTCGGTCACCAGGACCAGAGGTTTAGCTTTCTGAGCTTTCAGACTCATGTTGGAGCCCATCCTCAGAGAACTTCTCTCTCACCAGAATGTAAGTACCACAGAGGAGAAGCTGTCCACCATTTTCAGTTCCCTTCCTAGCATCACAATCCGATGAGAATCACTGGTGCAAAATATTCAAAATATTTGATTTCCTCCTGCAATATTGTTTGCCATTTGGCTATATTTGTTGTTTTAATTTTATGCATGGTTAAGTATGTCAGCAGCTCAGAGTCAGTTTAAAACCAGAGGGGCATGTCAGGCTGGTAAAGTGAATAAACATATTTACATCTGTACAAATAAACATTTAGATGGGCTGTTGGTTTGATCCCCGAGCTTGGCGATTTGGCTGCAAACATTTGGTCTCCATTCGGGGAAACATCTTCAGTGCGTTTTGAATCGTGCTCATCTGTCAGAGCACTGGCCTTTTAAATACCTTTTTGTGTCAGGTAAATTGGTGTGGGTGTTGTTTGTCCGGATTTTGCTGAGTAATGGTCTGATCCGGACAAAATCCGGACAAACAACACCCACACCAATTTACATTGCACAAAAAGGTATTTAAAGGCCAGTGCTCTGACAGATGAGCACAATTCATAAAGCACGGAGGATGCCTCTCCGAATGGAAATGAAACGTTTGCAGCCAAATCGCCAAGCTCAGGGATCAAGCCAACAACCCAACTACCAACCCAACATCTCAAACATTTAGATCCATATAGCAATAGCACTTACGCTTATATACCGCTTCATAGTGCTTTACAGCCCCCTCTAAGCGGTTTACAGAATCAGCATATTGCCCCCAACAATTTTACCAATTTCGGAAGGATGGGAGGTTGAGTCAACCGTGAGCCGGTGAGAATAGAACTGCCAAACTACTGGCAGCCAGGAGTCAGCAGAAGTAGCCTTCTAACCACTGTGCCACCTCGATTCATATCTGCTTGCAAACTATTGTTAAATAGTTTTCACTGTACATAAGCCAGCAGCCCTCTAAGGAGATTCAAATCATAATAACCCCCAGAAGACAAGCTGATAAAAGAGAAGACAACTCAACATAAAACTCTAAATTTACCATATTGGGATGGCACCAGATTTTAAAGTCTATCACCTAAATAAACTAGGAAGAAATTATGACACTTCTGGTCAAATAAGCCCAGTTTTCCTATGCTGTCACCACACAAAAATTCAGATTAAGCCCTTCAGGGTCCCTGAACTAATCCAGCTAAGGTCCACACCCAGCCCCCCCTCACAGATCCCTCGCACTCACTGCAGCTTCACTCTTGGTGTCCAGGGCACTCGTGGCTTCATCCAGTATCAAGACCTTTGGGTCACGGATCAGGGCCCGGGCGATGGCCAATCGTTGCTTCTGCCCGATGGAGAGCTGCCCTCCCTTCTCCCCCACCTCTGCAGGAAGACAAGAAAGACAGAGGCAATCAAGAGCGAAGTCAAGGTTGAGCAAAGATTTAATTGTGATTTATCACTTGTTGCTTGTATGTATGCGGAGAGCTTATGCACTGGAGACAAATTGCTTGTGTGTCCAATCACACTTGGCCAATAAAGAATTCTACTCTACTCTACTCTACTCTACTCTACTCTACTCTACTCTACTCTACTCTACTCTACTCTACTCTACTCTACTCTACTCTACTCTACTCCACTCCACTCCACTCCACTCCACTCCACTCCACTCCACTCCATCCTCCACTCCATCCTCCACTCTCCACACCATTCCTACTCCTATTCATCTTTTGTCCTAAGGGGTGGCAAAGCAATGAGCTGCAGAACAAGGCAAACACTGAAGCCCGACACTCTCTGAAGTGGGAGGGGGAAACTGCAATCAGGACAGCTGGCTCTCTTACGGTATTTTCAGTGCAAAAGGTCCGGAGGAGGGAAACCAGCCCCTTGCACTTTTAACAACGGCAGAAGAGATTTTAGGATGCGCGATTTTGGAAACGGCGCCAGAATGCAATTAGCTCTTGGAACACTCTTTCCTATCTTAGTCTTTCAATTACATCATTACAATTGGAGCCATCCGTGTAACCCAGAGCTTTACCAGTAGGCCTCAGGTTACACACCAGTAAGCACGACTGGAGTTTCTGTTGCTAAGCAAGCTATGCGTAAAATGTGACATCACGTGACCGCCTTGCTTGGTGAAGGCAATCCATGCATGCAGTCCTAACTGCCGTTGTTAACTTAACCCCACTGGTCATTAGGCTAGGATCCCCCTGCCATTACTTGCTAGCTTCTCACAAGCAAAGTCAGGGGGGGTTGGCTACAGGAATTTCAAAATCCCAGGAGGCTCACAAGAAGGCTGGCAGGCAATAAGTGGCTGATGCCGGGGGGCGAGGGTGTGTGGGCGGTTGCAGCACTGTGGGTGAGGCTTTTTGGATGCGGGAATTGGTGTGGGAGGGTACATAGGCAGCCACATCTCTCAGAGATGTGCTACATTTTTTGGGCCCCAGAATGTCTGCTGCCAGGCAAGGGAGAGTGGGTGTCGGAGCAGCACATGCCTATTTTTGCGGATACTGGATACTGGAGTAGCTCCTGCCAGGTGGGAGAGACTTATCCCAATGACTCGTCACCTACTTTGCGGCTTCCCCACTGGCTTTGCTTGTCGGAGGCTGGCAAGGAAGGCTGCAAATGGCACTCACTTGATCGTGGGGCACTGCAACCGTTGTAAGTGCAAGGGTTGCCAAGCACCCAGAATGCGATCCCGTGACTGCAGGGGAGGGGCAAAGTCAAGGACTAGTCGCCACTTCTGTTTTTTTCAGCGCCACTGTAATTTGGAACAATGGAATGGTCCTAACACAAGGACTGCAGTATACATTGCAACAAAGTAAGGAGGATTTCACTTTACAAAAGCCAATAATCAGGACCGGTGGGTTTTCTGGGAGGAAAGTGGGGTTTTCTGGGATGAATCAAAGGGGGGGGGAAGCGGATTTTGCCCACCTGCAGCGAAGCCTCCTTCCAGCTCATTGATGAATCCCAGGGCATCAGCTTCTTTCGCTGCTCTCTTCACATCTTCTTCACTGCAGCCTTGCAGGCCGTAGGCGATATTGTCCCAGACGGACCCGGAGAATAGGACGGGCTCCTGGCCCACCAGGGCCACCTGCAATTGGACAGGGAGGCCTATCAGGACTGAGGGAGAAACTCTATTGATCTTCCTCATCAAGCACCTTTCCAGGGTGGGGCTGGTTGATGCTCAAGGTTGATGCTCAATGTGCAGAATTCAGAATAACAAGAGTTGGAAGGGGCCGTGGAGATCTTCTCGTCCAACCCCCTGCTCAGGCAGGAAGCCCTATTACCATTTCAGACAAATGGTTTTCCAATCTCTTCCTAAAAACTTCCAGTGTTGGGGTGTTCACAACTTCTGGAGGCAAATTGTTCCACTGATTGTTCTCAGTCAGGAAATTTCTCCTTAATTCTAGGTTGGTTCTCTCCTTGACTAGTTTCCATTCATTGTTTCTTGTCCTGCCTTCAGGTGCTTTGGAGAAAAGCTTGACCACTTCTTCTTTGTGACACCCGCTGAGGTATTGGAACACTGCTATCATGTTCACCCCTAGTCTTTCTTGTAGTGAATCTTACGTGCAGATGTACGGTTCAATACATCTCCCAACTGTAGAGCTTGTGCTGTTCTCTGCTCTTTTTAATTTGGAGGCAAAGTGGCGGCACTCAGCCAACCTCACCTGATTTTGAAAAGCTAAGTAGGATCAAACTTTGTTGGCACCTGGATTTAATTCCAGATCACCAAAACATATCACAACCTTTACACTGTTGCCAGAGAAACGGCACAGCCACAATCATAGATCAAAGGAGATTCTAATCTTTTATCTCAGGATATGAACATGTGCAGAATTTCCTGAATGCAGCACCTTTTTATCTATCAAGGAACATAAGAAATCAAAAGCCTTACATTCCAGGCATCTTTTACTACCTTCAGCACTAGAGCAGATCTGAGGAACTTTGGACATTCCAAGCCCCAATTTCGTGGCTTCCAAAATTGCCTTAGTGGCATTGCGTTCATTTTTCTCTATGGGAATTATGGATGTCAGCCACACAATTTCTGAAAATCAGAGGCTCTTCCCACTTTTTTGAGGAAGAAACGGCATAAAAAATGCAGTGTATGCCATAAAAATTAGCATTTTAAAACAAGCACACAAAGAAAAAAATGCAATGCATGTGATGAGATGGATGACTATCTGTCTGTCTGTCTGTCTGTCTAATCTATCTATCTATCTATCTATCTATCTATCTATCTATCTATCTATCTATCTATCTATCTATCTATCTATCTATCTATCTATCTATCTATCTATCTATCTGTTATCTATCTAGCAATAGCAACAGTACTTATATACCTCTTCCCAATGCTTTACAGCCCTCTCTAAGCAGTTTACAGAGCCAGCATATTGCCTACACAATCTGGGTCCTTGTTTTACCAACCTCAGAAGGATGGAAGGCTGAATCAACCTTGAGCTGATGAGACTCGAACTGCTGAACTGCTGGCAGCCGGCAGTCAGCAGAAGTAGCCTGCAGTACTGCATTCTAACCACTGCGCCACCACAGCTTTTAGGTCTTGTCTGTCTGTCTGTCTGTCTGTCTGTCTGTCTGTCTGTCTATCTATCTATCTATCTATCTATCTATCTATCAATCTATCATCCATATCTATCTATCTCATTTATCTATCATCCATCTATCTATCTAATATATCATCCGTATCTATATCATTTATCTATCATCCCTCTATCATCCATCCATCCATCCATCCATCCATCTATCTATAGATAGATGGATGGATGGATGGATGGATGGATGGATGGATGGATGGATGGATGGATGATATAGATGTTCTTAAAGCCCAGACAATTCCAACCATATCATCCTAATGTCATGTATCAACCCCCTTCCCAAAGCCTCCCCAAGTGTAACCCTTCAACCACCAAAGAGACCTAGGCCTCTTCCTGCAGGTGATAGTCCTATCTCACCTGCCTATGGAGATACTTGTGCTCATATTTCCCAACTGGTTCTCCATCCAGCAGGACCTCCCCAGACTGGGGTTCGTAGAAGTGCTCCAGGAGGGCGACGCAGCTGCTCTTTCCGCTGCCGTTCGGGCCCACCAGCGCCATCACTTCCCCAGGGCAGAGCTCAAAGGAGACATTCTAGGGCACAACGAGATGCAAATAAACGCGAAATGAAGCAGGAATGTGCTGTGTTAATTAACATTATACTTAGATCCCATAGTCTCAGTCTCGTATAGCACAGGTAGTCCTCAGCTTACAACCAGAGCTGAGCGCCAAATATTTGCTACTAAGTGAGACTGTGGTTAAGTGACTTATGCACTATTTTACGATCTTTCTTGCCACAGTTCCTAAGTGAATCACTGCAGTTATTAAGTTAATAACATGGTTGTTAAGTGAATCTGGCTTCTCCATTGACTTTGCTCATTGGAAGGCTGCAGCCCGGGACGCTGCAACCGTCATGAATATGAGTTAGTCGCCAAGTGTCTGGATACTGATCACCTGACTATGGGGATGCTGCCACGGTCGTTAGCATGATAAATTGTTTTAAGTCCCCTTTTTCACTGCTGTCATAACTCTGAACAGCCACTAAACAAACTGTTGTAAAGTTAAGGGGTGCCCGTAGAGAAACTTGCTTTGTCTTTCTAAAGACCTTTAAAGTCTCAACATTCTTCCTTCCAATGTTCTTTATCAAAATTAAAGGATCGCGATTACGTTTGTAGAACATACAACCAACTTAACTGAGTTACTTAAAGCTTTTAGCAATTGCATTTGAGTGATGTACTGTTAGGGTGTCATGCAAAGCAACCCGGGTGCTTTCCAGCTTCCCATAAGGTACCTTCAGGACCTGGATCTCGGGGCGGGAAGGATAGCAGAAGGAAACATTTTGGAAGGAGATGTGTCCGGAGAGGGTTTCTGGAGACAGCATCCCTTCTGTGCTGACAGAAGGTTTCCGGTCAAGATATTCAAATACTTTTTCTGCTGCGCCCACATTGCTCAGGGCATCCCCATAAATGTAAATCAGGGTCTGTGGGAGGAAAAGGAAGGGGCAACAATGTTAAGACATGAGAACATCTGCAAAGGGAGGAATACAGCTGGCTACTGTGTTTTGAGCATCGAGATTAGTATTCCAGTATTTGAGGGGCTGCCACAAAGAGGAGGGGGCTCAACTTATTTTCCATAGCATCAGAGGGCAGGAAACAATGGATGGAAAGTAACTGAGGAGAGAAGCAACCTGGAACTAAAGAGAAACTTCCTAACAGTGAGGACAGTTAACCAGTGGAACAGCTTTGCCTTCAGATGTTGTGGGTGCTTCATCACTCAAGGTTTTTAAGAAGAGACTGAACAGCCATTTGTCTGAAATGATATAGGGCAGGGGCGTCAAACTCGCAACGTCACGTGACGTGTCATGACGTATCGTAACTTTTTTTCCACTGCCGGCAGTGGGGTGGGCGTGGTTTCGCTAGGATGCATACGGGCCCGTGGGCCGGCAGTTTGACACCCCCGGTATAGGGTATCCTGCTTGAGCAGGGGGCTGGACTAGAAGACCTCCAAGGTCCCTTCCAGCTCTATTCTGACTGGTTGTCTAAAGCAACACTCAAAAGTCCAGTGTGAATGAGAACTGAATTTCCTCCCAAGTATCTCAGTGCATTTGTCCAGAGCAGTGGTGGCAAACCTATGGCACACATGCCAGAGGGGGCACTCATCACAGCCCCAGATCCGCCTCCTCCCGTGGCCCCCTCCTCACCAGCAGCCCCCCAGAGGAGAATCGCCCCCAAGCGCAGGCCGTGCGGAGCAGCACAGCCAAGGACATGGCAGCCGGGCAGCGGGGAGAAGACTCCGCCCTTGCGCCCCGTCGCACACAGATGATGCTGTGGGGCACAGGCAAAGGGCGTCGACGCATGGCACTGCTGGGACGCCTTGGCGAACTGCTGCGGCAGGTTGTGGAGGCGGTGGGTGGCCCTGTGGGTGGTGGGGTGGTGGGGGCAGTTTGGGGGCACTCGATCTCTAAAAGGTTCGCCATCACTGATCCAGAGCATTATGCATAGAATATCTTATGGATATTAATGATCTCACGAATGAAGGCAAAGATATGTGTCCCAGGATAAAGTTGCAGGATCCAATCTGGGTCAATCACCAGGACCAGACCCAGATCGGATCCTGCAATATTTAGTGATCTCTTTGAAAGCTAAACTTGGAAGTCCTTGAAAGAAGCTGCCTTGGGGAGAGGATCAACTTTAATGATATGCTCAAGTCCAGCCTGACTCCTGCTGACCACACAGATGTGTCCCTGCAGTTTTCTTGGCAACAATGCAGAAGAACCTGGCCTGGTCCTTTGGTGGGAGATTTGTAGTCCAGTTCACTACCTCGGGATCCCTAGGTGGTCTCCTATCCAACTAACCAGGCCAACCCCTGCTTTCTGAACCTACAGAGCAGATGCTGCCTCCTGCTGGGTGAGAAAGTCCAGGAAGAAAAGGGGAGAGAAGAAAAAAGGTGTTTGTTTTTTTTCATAGTGTATCTCATGGCTGTTTCAAGCACTTTCTGAAAGCAACCGAACTGTAGAAAATAATTGCTTTGCTTCTTGAAGACGAGCCTCCAGTTTCAGCCAAGACCATCTGCAATTTTCAGCTTGCAACTTTGTGCAAATTACTGGTTTCTGTTCCCAATGGTTTAAAGTGGCAATAAATTACTTTTAAAAGAGAAAAGACATCCGATTTGAAATCTGGAATGCCTTCCCCTCCTTATGGAGATTCCCAACACAATTAAATCCCCAGGTAAATGCCCCCCAAAGTGCTATTTTTTT